AAATCAATAGAGCCCTGTTGTTATATAGTGTATGCCTAGGGCAGTCAAGGCTCTTCTGAATTTACAGCATCACTCTAAAGTATATTCAGTGAGAAAAGCAGGAACTGTTACTATATCAAGTTGAGGGGGTCATAAATGGTTAATTGTACTGGAATCAAGTTAACAGGCTTCAGAAGCTGATCTGCAAGTATGAGTCAGGGACCAGGCAATAGGCAGCTCGACTGGCTGGGATTGCTGGCCATTTTGAGACATGGCAGGTAGGCACTGACCAGTCATTAAGCTTCAGAATCAGGGTTAAGGTAGGAGCTACTGTGGCCTGGAAGGAGCCATGGCAATCCAGGGAATATGGAATGGAGATTAATGCAGGAATTACATCCGTTCTTTCTCCAAGCAATGAGGTCTCTGGGCCAAAGAAATGTCTATGTTGACCACTGCCCACAACCCCATCGCCCAATTTTCAGCTTCCCAGGGTTCTCCTGATATACTTCAATGTCCTCACCTGAGGATGCTCTGCCCAAAGGAAGGTAAATTTTGAAGGCTGAAACCTACCTGGATATCTTGGAGTTTACTGGCTAGATTTCTTTCTTAAAGACCATGCCTTAAACCCAATTCACTCTGGGTCACATTAATTGGCCAACTATAAGGTCTTACCCAAGCACCAGTTAATGGTTACTATGTGGGCCCAGATGGCCCAGAGTGAATGTAAATAGTAATTGTTTCTCTTTTGGCCAGAAACCCTGAGGGTCTTCCCCTCCCAATTTCTTTCTTTTTTTTTTTGATTAATGGGGTAATTTCTTGGCTCACTTCTTAAATAGCCCTAATCACTGAATGGGCATTGCCACAGACAAATTGAGACCTGGGAAAGACCTTAGCTTAAAAAGGCCAAGGTCTCCCACTGCATCCTGGGCCATCTCCAGTTTGTCCTGATCCACATCTGGCCACTGGACCCAGATGGCTCCAAAGGAGAAAGTGAGGCTGGTGACTTTGCACAGCCCTGCCTCACTTAAATCCAATTCACTTGCAAGTCACGGCATCATCTTCCTGATGCCATGGTCCTCTTTGAGAAGGAAGGACAACCACAATATATTTGACATATACTTGATAAAAAATATTTCATATATAATTCTTTTTGTTTGTATATAGATACATTCATGTTTACTGTTTATTAAATTCATTGAAAAAGAGAAAAATTTTAAAAGCCAAACAGAGGACTTTAGATTTTATTCAAGAGGCAAGAGGGAGCCCTTTAAACTTCCTGAGCAGTGGAGCGACAAGTCTGAACTGTGCTTTACATCACTTGGCAGCTGTGTGGAGGATGGCTTGGAGAGGCAAGAGTGGAAGAAGGCTCCCCAAGGAAAACATGACTACAAATTGTCCAGGAAATTACATGAGGGTCTGAACTGGGGTGGTGGCTGTGTGAGTGGAGAGAAGACTGTGGTAGTAGTGGGGATTTTCCTGTTTCTTGCTCTTTGATCTTCTGCTAAAACATTCATTTCACTTTTTTCCTCTTTTAAGAAGGTATTTATATAGAACCTAACATGTGCCAGGTACCATGCTATGTACTTTACAAATACTATCTCATTTGATTAAATTCGACTTCCTCATCTTTGCTCTGGGACTCCCAGCACACAGGTGGCCTCCAACCATCCCTCACAGTAGACCTGGCTCCTACTCTGTGATATCCCTAAACGCCTCCTTGAAGAATTTCAAACAATCACTTCTTTTCTCCAGCTACCCCTACAACAATGAGAGTTGGGGAAGCAATCTTTTAAAGGCGAGGATGTGTAGCCAGGGTAATTAACTCCATTTTGTGACTGAGTTGTTTTGACTAAGCTGTTTTTCAATAAGCTAAACACTTGTGCAGTATGACGCGGTAAACGGCAAGCATTGTGTGAACCCTCTAATAGGACAGATCACCAATGGAAAAATATTAAAACCACCAATCAAATTATGAGGAATTAGGAACGCCCATAGTTTAAAACTACAAGTAACCCACCAGAGGTCCCAGTGCTCAGCCTGCTCCTTGGTTGACAGGAACTGACTCCTGCGTTTCTCTATGCTTGTGACTCCACGATGTCCAAGTTTTACTTGAGGGCAGCACTGATTGACAGAAACTTGCCCTATAACTATCTTGGAGACTGATGTTCAGCCTCCAGCTGGGCAGAGAGAGAACCTCGTCCATCCAGTACTTGTTGAACAACCCTACAAATATGATGCCTTGAGATGGATACATCCAAGCACAAGAGTTAATCTCACAGCAACATTTTCCAAAAGTATGGCTGAAGAGCGACTGATCCCCTTTGCATCATTACTGCTGAGATCTCCAAAAGGCAGGATGGGCATGGCCATATCACACCACCAGGCAGAATTTCCAGGGCACACAGCAGGATGAAAAAGAACGGTTTACCTCACATGCAAAATGAAATAGATTGAAGAGTTACTTTTAATAGTAGAATTGTCACAAAATATCTGTTCCATTTTATTTTAGAAGATATATTCTAGGTGCTGGTGAAGATACAAAGATTAAATAGGACAAAATCCCTGACCTGAAGGCACTTAACAGGAGATATGATGCATTTTATCATAAAAATTTCCATTATATTTGTATTTTCCCCAGAATGTAGCATAATGCTCCACAGACACTTAAGAGATTAATAGATAAATTAATAATCATTATTATATGAGTACTGTTTTAAGCCAGAGTAAAATATCTTTTTAATTTTTCAGAAAGAACAGATGATATTCCATCTAGGATAATTTCTGTGCAATCTTATCTATGGACAGAACAAGAGGACCCTTAAAAGACCCTTTCGGGCTTATGATTTTATAGTATGTAGAAGGTCACATTGCATAGCTTATTTTTTAATACTGGAAGTTGCTTCCAGATTCTGGGGAAAGCATTCTACTTTTTGGCAACAAATGGTCTATGCATGACCCACTTGCTGTCTCTCTCTAAGTCTATTCTGCAGAAAATAAGTATCAGAAGTCTCTAGACTATGTGCATCGATTTATATGTTCAAGTGATTTACTGAAAAAAAAAATTCCACTGCCACCTCACTAGGCTCTTGCCAGTTCTTTGTGAGACTTTCCAATGGTTACATCATATCCTGGGTACTTTGTGCTGTTACTGAGTTTTTCTGCTAAAGATTACAAAGTGCATTGGGAATTCCAGAGCCAAATTTACCAATGATTCCATGAGAATCTCCAGGCAGAGTCAGTTCAACAATTAGAGAACACAAGCCCACCTGACCTAGGGGAGGTAAGAAAGTCAGGATGAATTTCTCTAATTTTTGTTTTAGGTGGATGTGTTAGGAGGCCAAATATCAGCCGAACCATTCTTAATCAGCTAGGCCCTCGGCTGCATAACAAATGCTCTAGTTACGGTGTGCATCTGTCATTTCATCTGTTGCTCACAACAACCCTGTGAAGCAGGCAGGACAACACTGTTAACCCCATTTAATAGACTGAACAGAACATTTGACTCCTCCAAAAGAGGGTACCCAATTCCTATGATGCTCTTAAGTATAATGTGAGCTATAGGTCAGTGAAGACTTAGAGAGGAGGGGCTTTCCTAATGAATCATTTCCTGGAAAGTTCAACTGTGCCTAGAAGCTCTCAAGCAACAGAAGATGCTTGAGGTACACTCAAGCATTCATCTGCCTCTGAGGATGAATTTATAGAACAGCCAGGAGTGAGAAGCCAGTCTGGATGGAGAACTATAGACAATTTACTATTTTCTGGTTCTAATAATTAATGCTAATCCCCTCTCCCTCCTTACCACACCCCATTTCCCTTCCAATCTAAGAAAATACTTAGCAAAGGAGACTCTGGCTCATATGGTCAATGGCTTAGCTTCATGACTAGAATGGACTGTAACAATGTCACATGGAGGATACAAGGCTAAGAGGAGCAGTATGGACTAGATTGAGAGATTTGGGCCACAATATTTTGAATCAAAATCATTAGTATGATTTTTGATATTACTTGAAGGGAGCAGAAAACATATCTTAGCCAACAATTTCACAGTGACCTTTCCTGGGCAGAGAAAAAGGAAAACTGAAGTAGCAACATTTTCAAGTAAAATCTATCATCCAGATTCATTCTGGTGAGTTGTGTGCATTAGGTGTGCTTCTCTATTAAATATATGACATTATTAAACATGTAACTGCAAATCAGCTTGTATTTCTCCTCTCCAAAGAGAAATCAGTTTTTAAGAAGGCAAGGGATTGTTTAACCATAATTTGAAGCTTTTAAACTGGAAAAATCAAAACAGACATATCACATTAGATGTAACATGCAGGTTACCTGACTAGCTTTGCATAAGGAAAAATGTATAAAATCCTTTCATTTGACATTAAAAACAACTTTGTAGCTGAAGCAGGGGTGGGATGACATGCTTTACCTGCCATAGAATAAAGCCCACATCACTTTCAAGTCCTCAGAAGTGGGCATGGAACAGAGAGCACAGTTAAGGACTGGGCTTCAATAAGGTGGTATTTCCTGGTATCTCTACTCTGGGTTTGGAGTAAACATAGGGAGATGAGGCCAGGACACATGCTTACCTGGATGATGAAAGCAGGTCTACTAGTTTAAAACAACAGCAACTGCAAGGTACAATAATAACAGCTAGCATTTATTTATAGCTCTTTAAAAACCATGGTCCTCTAGGATACCCAAGTTAGTACCCATAGTGTCATTCTTGGCTGTCTCCTCTCTTTTACTGCCTAATCTCCAGTCTAGCCTTAATCACTGAGTGGGTGTTGCCACAGACAAATCGAGACCTGGGAAAGGCCTTAGCTTAAAAAGTTCAAGGTCTCCCACTGCACTGGGGCCATCTTCAACCCTGATCTATATCTCACCACTGGACCCAGATGGCTCCAGAGGAGAAAGTGAGGCTGGTGACTTTGCATAGCCCTTCTTCACTTAAATCTAATTCACTTGCAATTCATAGTATCATCTCCCTGATGTCATGGTCCTCTTCCGGAATGAAGGACAAACAACAACCTGTGAGTAGTAGTAGCTGCTCCACTGGGGCTGAGGAGGATGAAACTGAGGTAAGAAGGAGGCAGAAAAGAGAGGGCTGCAGCAAACACAGGGCTGGGCCACATGGCGGGAGAGAATCTTTCCAGCAATCTCCCTGGATTTGAACGGTCTCATCCTCATCCCTCCTTTGGTGCTATTTACTCCTTTTTAGATGCATTTTTGGTTAGAAAATCATAAAGAGCTTTGAGAAAGAAAAAGACAAAAACCCAAGCAACCTGTCAATTCCCCAGATTGCCAAGGCAGAAGATGAGTGGGTCAGGGACCTCTAGCTAGGTCTCTTCCTCATCCTCACTCATGCAACCCTCCAATGACTTGCTTCCCTGCATGGCTCTCTTTTTCAGGAATTCTGCTTTGATGTGCTCCAGCTCCCGCAGTTCAGTCTCAAGCTTTTCCCTGTGCATGGCCCGACGGTTTCTGAGTTGCTTCATGGGAAAGGGGTTCATGTCATTGAAAGCAATATTCATCAGTTTACTGTGAAGGAGAGAGAGGGAGGGGTAAGACTGATTAGTTAGCCAATCTGAAAAGGCAGGGCAGGGTCTGAACATTTTTCATATGAATGGTGATGGTAAACAAAAGGCAATCATTAATGCTTGTACCAACAAATTAATAAAACTTGTGACAGGATGAGCACCTTCATTACACATCAACCATGACATATTAGACTCTTACTGTATGTAGACTGTTTTGGGTTGTAGTGTGAACTCAGGTGTGGACACCTCTCCCTACAGATGTTCCCTGAAGCACAGGCCTTAACAAGGTGGGCATAAACATAGAAGGCTGAAAAATGTAATGGCAGACCAGCCTGGCACAAACAGAAGGAATGGAGTGCATCTTTTTTCAGCACAGCTTTGTGACTGACCATTAGTCTAAACAAGCTTATGGCTTTCATGCCATGAAATGAACATTTCTGGAAAGTTTCTCCAAACAGTCAGTCCATAAGCATTTATTAAGTGACTACTATGAATCAGGCATTGTGCTAACAGCTGGGGATACAAAGAAAGGCAAAAACAGCCCCTGCCCTCGAGGACGTCACATTCCAGATGGTAGTGTTGGTGGTGGCAGTGGTAGTGATGGTGACGGTGGTAGTGTTGGTAGTGGTGCTGGTACAACTATGTACAAACAAGATAAATACAGGAAACATTGGGGATAGTCTCAGAAGAAGAGCACTAACGTTAAGGAGGACTGGGTAAGATTTCTTGCAGACAGTGGGATTTCTGCTGAGACCTGATGGAATCCAGGAGGCAGAGAAAAGGAGAGAGCTCTCCAGGTGTGGGGCACAGCCCTTGAAAATTCCCAGAGTCAGGAGATAAGAGTGGCTTGTTCAAGGATCAGCAAAGAGCTCAGTGTCACTGGATCACAGTAGATGAGGAAAGTAAAGTGTAAGAAGACTGGAAAGGTATGAAGGGCTTTAAAAGCCAAACAGAGCATTTTACATTTGATCCTGGAGGTAACAGGGAGCCTCTACAGTTTATTAAATAGGTGGGGAAGGATGACATGGTCAGATCTGTACTTCAGGAAGAAAACTTTGGTAGCTGGGTAGAGGATGAACTGGATGAGGGTTGGGGGAGTCAAGGAAGGGAGATCAACCAGCAGGCTATGGCAATCGTCAAGGTGATGAGGACCTTCACTGGGGTGGTGACAGTGGCAGAGGAGAGAAGAGGGACATGTGTGAGAGATGTTACAAAGGGATAATTGATAAGACTTAGCAACAGTTTAGATGTAGGGGTGGGAGTGAAGAGTGGAGGATAATACTTAGGATGTGATGTCCTTGACAGTAACAGAGACATTAGGAAGACAGGAGGGCTTTGGGGGAAAGGTGATGAGTTCAGTTTTGGACACAGTGAGATTAAGAAGCACTGAAGGGGCTGGAATGGAAAGAGTGCAAGAAGCCCTGGTCTATGGGACACTGGGAATTGAGGATGCAAGACTAGAAGTCAGGAGAGAGGTTAGGGCTGGAGAAACACTTGAAGAACAAATTCTGCAACTACAGTTTAGAACCTGTGGTCCAAGGCCATACACTGGCTTTTTTTTAGCAACCACAGCACACAGAGGCACTGTTTTAGGTCCAGGACATACGAAGACAAAAGTGAACTAGGCAGTGACCTCCAGCAGCTCAGATTCCAGCAGGAGAAATAATTTGTCCATATTAGAGAGCTACCAGGCCTGGGGATAAGCGCTGCACCCGTGACTTCACTGGGACAGAAAACTCCCAGGTGAGGAAATGTCTCTTCCCAGTGCAGATTGGCATATTTGCTACAATTTACATGTCCACAATTGCCTACAGTGCTGAGAGGTTACAGGATTTGCCCGGAGTCACACAGCACATGGGGCTTGAATCCAGATTTTCCTGGCTTTGAGGCCAGTATTCTATTTGCTATGCCATGCTGATAGAAGGTAAATACAAAGTAGATTTTTCAGCTTGCCTCTCTGTATTCTTCATTCAGATTTATAGCTTCTTAGGTTGCAGTCATATCCCATCGCATTCATGTACCAAACTTTTTGTAGCCATTCTCCAAATGATGGGCATCAACTCTGTTTCCAGTACTTTGCTAATGCAAAGAGTGCTATTATAAATATTTTGGCATGTATTGGACCTTTCTATTTTGGCTGTTTTGAGGTATGTGATTAGCAGTGGGATTCCTTTGTCACACAATATGGACATTTAGTCACTTTTAAAACATAATTCCTAATTATTTTTCCAGAATGGTTGGACCAATTCACAGATCCATTTACGACAATACGTCAGGGGGTTTAAAAGGCTTCCTTTCAAATCTCGTTTGCCCTGTGGCCTGCTTTTATGAACTCTGAAGGCTCACATCTGACAGGCTCTTTCCTGGGCCTTGGGGCAACATGAGGGAGGTTATAAAGTTGTTTAGAACAGAACAGTTGCGGACAGGAAGGAGTCATTTAGCCAGCCATTCTTAGGATCCTTGATTTTAAAAAATGGTTGTTGCTTTTGGTGGGCAGAGCCTGACCGTGGGCATACAGTCCCATTCTTTATTAGTCTTAGAGGTTCTCACGGCCATTTTACCACTGATATAAGAGGAAGGTACACACTAGTTGGCTGGATTGTTTATGGAAGGCCTAGATATTGACTGTAGTCTCCAACCCCTCCAATCAATATTGCATTTCACTTTCATTTCACATTCCATTGGCCTGCTCAGGAACCTATAATGGCTCCCAATTTCCTATGACATCAAATCTAAACTGCTTTTAGCAAAGCACATTAGTTGAGGCTAAGCTTCAGCTTCTGCCTTTCTTGGCCCTCCAAAATCTGGTTCCAAACTTCGCCAAACTATAACACTCATAAACTATACCATGCTATTTTAGCACATGTGTTTTTAGCACCTATACTTCTTGTTTCATGTTTTTTTAAAAAAAAAACTCTTGTGTTCCCAACTACAAAGGAAACTCTTTAGGGGCAGGGATATATTTGGGGCTGCCCATAGCACCCAGCACAGTGCTGGGCTCAGAGCAGGTGTCTGACAAATACTTATCTACCAAATATTAACATTAAAGTCCTTACCGGCCATTGCAAATCGTTTTGGTGAAGAATCGAAGATACTGGTAGATCTCAAGAGTATCATGAATCCTTAGTATTGCTTCTTCATTGTACTTAAATATAGCAAGGGCATATCGGAATATCACCTGAAATGGGTTCAAATGTGTTTCAGGAAGTGTCAGTGACACATAAGTACAGGGAAATACTTAATAGAACAATCTTATGTATGGCTTTATAAGCAAGTTGTACCTATTAAGCCACAGATAGGCACTACATAGACACAGAGAAGAAACTGCCTGAGTGGAGTGACATGAAGATCTCTGAAGGCTTCCCTTGGCTTTAAATCTCTCTTTCCAAACAGCTTAAGTCCTCACAGTATCATTTCTTTGGGTTAAGGAAGCCAAAGAGACGAGCTGAAAATAGCCAGTTTCATACCCTGTCTAGATCAAAGGCTTTAAAGTCAGCTTTAAAAATAAACTCTTTTGGGGCAGCTAGGTGGTGCTGTGGATAGAGCACTGGCCCCGGATTCAGGAGGACCTGAGTTCAAATACGGCCTCAGACACATAACACTTACTAGCTGTGTGACCCTGGGCAAGTCACTTAATCCCACTGCCTATCCAAATGTTAAAAAAACAAACAAACCTCTTTTCTTTGATACATCTTCTTCAGTCCTTTCAGTTAACCTTACTACCACTGTCTGGTGGGGAAAACAATCACTAGATGTGCTTTTAAGACTCAGGTTTAAGTTCTGGCTCTGACATCCATCACTGACCTTTCTGAGCCTCAGTTTTCTCATCTGTAAAATAACTCTTGTACTACCTATTTACAAAGGTGTTGTGGAAAGTGAAGAAAACACTTTGTAAACTAGGAAGTCTATATTTGAAATGCTGGGTAAAATGAGATAATATTTGTAAAGAGCTTTGAAAACTTAAAGCACTATATAAATGCTAGCTATTATATATATAAAGGGGAGTTTTACTTTTGTAACTATTATAAGACACAGCCAGGAAAATGTGATGCTAAGGGTCAAAACCCCATCTGCTTTGAGCAGGTGAGCTCAGGAAGAAAGGAGAGCTAAAATTTTTCTTCTCTTCCTTCCTGCCTCCCACAGATCATTCCTTAGACACCCATTGGCCAGTGAGATCTTCCTGGTTCAATGCTCTCCTGCTGTCCCCTCTGGCCACAGGCACAGCCTACGGTCATTCCATCTGGTTCTATTATCTGGGCAGAACCTCATGCTCCATCCTTTCAGAGCTCAAGACTGCAGTGATGCTTGCCCTTCCTTGTCCTGTGTCTATCTCATCCTTGGGAATCGACTCTCCACGTTATAATAAGTTGGTAATTAACCAGACTAAGAAACTAATATATGCTAATGAAAGGATAGAGGGATACTACTTTCTTTAAGATCTTCCTTGTTCTCTTCTATTAGGTAACTCAGTGGATAGGGTTCCCTCCTTTGGGGGCCTAATTCAGACAAGTAACTTAATGATGGGAATTGCAGGCTAAGCAGAAACAGAGCAAAACCACATCAAGCAGAAAATGATAGCATTCTAGGGCAATGGAGATTCCATCACCTCATAACATGAAGATGGCTGCCTGTTCAGTCTATTCAGAGCACTGACCCCATGGAAAAGAACACTGTTTTGTTTCATCTATCATTTTAAAGGTACCCTTGGCAGGCCCAAATGGGTAAGAGAGAATGCTAGTTACCTAATCTTCATACTTTCTTTGCCTGGTCAATTCAGGGAAAAGTGAATATATCTGGCTTTTAGGAATAGTGGAATGGCTTTCTTACTATAGCAGTAGAATGCAGAACAGGGAAAATTCAGCTGCTTTATGAAATATGTCATGCCAATTAGCACATAAAATACTTCTCAGAAATAGTTTCTAGGGAAAACAAGTACAGGATGAAATGAGCTGGCACTAGACCAGGGAATGAATAAAATAATTCTTTCATTATTGCCCACTAGACTGAGGAATCCCCTAAAGCCAGAGCTAGCAAAGGAGAGCAGCTCCTACCTTAATTCCTTCATATAGGAAGGCGTCCCAGACTCTGAGCAATATGTCGCTGATGAGGTTGTCCACAAAAATCACAAGGAACCAGTTGAAGGTGATCAGTGACAGGTCGATTTTGTGCTGCTCCAAGTGGGCCATCAACCTAGGAAGTTTCTCTGATAAAAAATCTTGGAGAACCCTTTGATCTACCTGGAGTGAACCAAAAAGCTATGTTACTCATCTCTCATAAGCCAGGAAAGGCCCTGCTAGCTGTATTGTTCCTTTGATGGTGTTCAGAATTCACAGCAGGCTTTTCAAAGAATCATAATATCTCAGAGCAGGTAGGCTCTTTCAGAGGTGATAACACCTACCCAAAGCAGAAACTTCCCTTGTACATAGGCAGTGTGCCTGCTGAATGAATGGACTTCCAAAGCAGTGAGTTTATTTTTTTTTTAGATATGGCTGGTTATTTAGCTTTCTAAAGGGAAGCTTTTGAAAACAGGAAGATGTTTGGTTAGCTGAAATGGTGAGGTAATCCAATTGTTGGCTGTATGTATTGCAGGGCATATCAGATGTCAGAGACCAGACAACTTAGTGTTATGATGTCAGGGTCAGTCTTAATTGATTGTCAATTAGGACATGTAGCCTAGGCCAAATGAATGTGTAGGGTGATCCCTGAAGACTCCTAGTGGTGTTAAGATTTCACAATCTATGCATAGCATTCATAACTACTAGGTCCTTTTTTCTCCACTAATATCCTCCTCTGACATCTCTTTAGTATGGAGGCTCTTAAAGACCATGTCACTACGGTACAAGTTCTAGAAGGTCCTACCCAGGCTGAAAATGATTTGAATCGAGGTCTGGCGATGGACAGTGTATTTGTCACTGCAGGACCAGACTAGCTAAATATAGTGAGGACAGAATGCTGAACTTCATGGCCTCAGCATTGAAAAAAAGGATCACCAACCAAGGCATGTCTCCATGCATCTCTAGAGGGAGCAGTCACCTTTTGAAATAAGAAGAAAGAAGTATCCTGGCATAACAACCCCTTTATGCTTGGATTCTGACCCCTTTATAGACAGTCTTTATGTGCCCATGTGTTGTCTCACATGGAGAGTGTGGCCCACTAAAATCTCAAAGTCTCTCTTATTTCCCCCAACTGTGACCTAGTCATGTGTCCTCCAGCTTATTCAGCTATGGTTATTTTGTGAACCCAAGTGTGAACCCACACTTATCCTATTAAATTTCATATTACATATTCAGCTGCTAGTTCCAGGCCAGTGAGATCTCTTTGAATCTCTACTGAATCATCCAATGCATTAGGAACCTCTTGCAGCTTCAGGACATTTCCAGATCTAATAAGCATGCCACCTGTGTTTCTGTACAAGTGGCTAACAAAAAAGTGGAACAGAACAGAGCAGTTTTTATTATATTAGATGAACCATGTAACATTTAGTGCTTCTGTATTCTGTCTATTATTTCTTTTTGTGAGGAATTATTGATGCCCATTTATTTACAGATGGGTGCATAGTACATTTGTTCAATAAACATTCATTGAACTCCTACAAAACTGCTTGGGGATGAGCTAGGTCCAATGGGATCAGGAAGATAAACAAAACAGAATACCTGATCTATGGGAATTTAGTAGTTTAGGTGAATTTTGCATTTTAATATGGTTTTTCAGCCCATTCACTTGTGGAGTTCAAGCAATAATTTTTTAATGCTCATACCAGCCTATAAAATAGGAATAGACAGGCTGAAAAATGAAGTTGTTATATCTTTTTCCACTAAGGGCCAATGGCCCATAGGAGAAAAAAGTCAATTATACATCACATATAAATAAAACTCAACACGTTTTTTGGCAGAAAAACATAAAACTTTAAATTCTTGAGCTGTTTGAATTACAGAGAATGAAAATGAAAGGGTATCAAATAAAAGAAGGTGAGGGGGAGTGAGTGGGTGGTATGGAGAGATACATAGAGAAAAGAGGTGAGAGAGAATCACAAGACTAGACAGTGGTAGAAGGAGCGCTGTTCTTGGGTCAGAAGATGGGGTTGCAGGACGGCCTTGACCTCTTTCTTCTACCTGCATAACCTTGGAGCAATCACTTAAGCTTTCCAACCCTCAGTTTCTTCATCTGTAAAATGGGGAATGTAATATCTATGCTAACTACTGGATCAGTAGTTATCAGGATCAAAGGAGATAATTTAATAGACTAAAATCTTTTTGAAAAGTTAGTCAATGGTCCCTTTCTATGGTGTCAGAGATCTTTTGGATCTTTTTTTTTTTTAAAACCAACTTTTGGGAGTACTGGGTGATGTGCTGGATAACTGACTTCTGAGATTCATGAAATTTCTATCATAAAATCAAAGCCTCTAGGTAAAAATCAAGTTTGTTTTCTTTCTAGCTGAGGCAAGTATTTATGGATCCTTCTCTCTATTTCACCCCAGTCTCTAGAAATGCAGGGAAATCCACATCTCTAGGGTGAAAAAAAGGGGGGCAACAGTACCAAAAGTTTCCTACGACTCTTTACTGATGGAGCTCAGCCATTCTTTTCCTTACCATTTTCTAACTTCTAACCAGAATTCTCTTGGTTAGTGAGCAGTAAGAGATGACAGTTAGATTTTCTGGATTAATCTGTCTTCTCCTACAGAGGAAGTCTATTTCAGTTGCTTAAAGTAAATGATTTTTAGTAGGATTGCTCTTTAAAATATAACTTCAATTTGACTTTGAATTGGTGATGCTTTTTGTATATATGTCAATCCCCCCTTTCCCCAAACGTTTCATATCTTTTCAGTTGTTCAGTCATTTTCAGCTGTCTCCGACTCTTTGTGACCCCATTTGGAGTTTTCTTGGTAAAGACACTGGAGGGGTTTGCTATTTCCTTCTCCAGTTCATTTTACAGATGAGGAAACTGAGGCAAACAGGGTTAAGTGACTTGCCCAGCAATGAGTGTCTGAGGCCAGATTTAAACTCAGAAAGATGAACCTTCTTGACTCCAGCCCAGAGCTCTGTGCATTATGGCACCACCTAGTGCCCCATATCTTTTCTAGCAAGTCCTAATAACCACTACCTTTTGTCTGAGAGACCTAGGGAGGGTTTTGGGAGGTCTCTGGGGCAAATGATACAGATTTCTACTGGGGGTGGATGCCTGACGACACAATTTCTAAAGCCAAGGATACTGCAGAGGACTAAAGGGGCTTGCTGTGTCCAGTGCTCTCTGGTTCCAAACAAGGAAGGTAGAAAAATTCACATGTTCAGTTTTGGTTGACTATGCATCATTGAGAGATCCTCACTCACCTGAGATGCTATTAACATTTTAGTGTAGTACTCTGCAGGCATTATGGTCTCAACAATACAAACTAGGCACCAGAAAGCGCTTTCTTCCTCTTCTAAAATCAACAGGGCAATGGCTGCCAATCTATATCATGAAGAAACACAAATACTAGATGTTAAAAACGAAAGCAGTGGTCCCCAGGATACAATCCGGACAGCACACAGATGCATGTTTATTTCCTAGACGCTTGAAATGATTTCAAGTCTCCAGGGGCCTCCCTTTTGGCTATATCTATATAGATCGTAGGATCTATAATCCTGTGAATAGCAAATCAGAAGGATGCCATAGACACAGTGCACCTGGATTTCAGGAAGAGATGTCAGTCTCCTATTATTTCCTTAGACTCAGAGAATTTGGGGGTTTAAGGGTAGGATCATGTAATTGTAGATTTTGGGCTATAAGGAACTTAAGAGACCATCAAGTTCAACCCTTTCACTTTACAGAGGAAGATAAGGGTCAGAGAGATTAAACGGTTGGCCCAAGGTCACAGCAGACCTTGAATTCGAACTCAGGTCCTTTGATTCCAAAAACGGCATGCTTTCCAGTATACCATGCAGCTTCCTCAACTTTGTTTTATATTTACATTAAAGATCATCTAATCCAACCTCTCCATTTTGCAGACATGAAACTGAGGCCACAAAGATAGCTAGTGGCAGTGCTAAGATTGCGTTTAACTTCCGATGCACTTTCTATTACATAATACTGCCTTTAAGGTATATTTAACACTTACACTTTCCAAGAGAGATGGGGCTACAGACAAAGCAGAAGGAAAAAAAGATCACACTTCCACTATCTAGCAACTGTCTCAGAGCTGATAACAAAGGCAGTTTCCCAGCAGAGGAGTCCTGGTCAAGGCAGCAGGTGTGTATGGCACTAGGAGACTGAAGGTGTGATGGATGCAAATCCACTCATCAGTGACTGTTAACAGACCACAACTGAAAAGGAACAAAGGTGCTATATGTGCAAATGATGGTCAAGAAGTACCCTTGGACACAGGACACTTGAAACTAGGCAATGAGGTGGTGCAGTGCAGGCCTGGAGCTGAGACCTGAGTTTGAATCAGGTTTTAGACATTAGCTGGGTGACCCTGGGCAAGTCACATAAGCTCTATTTGCCTCTGTTTCATCAACTGTAAATTGGGGTTATCAAATGAGATGATATATGTAAAGCACTTAGCACTATGCCTGGCACAAAGCAGGAGCTATATAATGTTAGTTATTATAATGAAGATGATGTATATTAGCTATTACTCCCTACCCTACCCCTCCATCCTCAAAAGCCCAAGGAAATCAGCTTTGAAATTCTAAGCGAATGATTCTGGTAGCTGCCACTAGGTGGTGCCAGTTACATTACTATCCACCCAAAGAGCTGCTTTATTCCAGGCATGAATAACTGATGTCTTCAAGATAATTAACATGTTCCCATACTTGAACATGCTTTTTTTTTCTATTTAAAAACCACTTTATTAAAGTATTATTACAAATACTTATATAAGAATTGTCTACATTTGTACAGATAATTAAAGTGAAAATATAATTTGGAAAACTACATAAAGCAGCATAAAATCTGGATATAAAGTTGTGTCACTTTCCATTATTCCCACTTTTATTTTTGCTTTTTACAATTTTTAAAACTTTTGCCCTGCTGTTGCCTCTACCTCTTTTCTGAAGAACGAGAAACACTGTGCATTGCAGGCACGCAATAAATACCTGCTGAATGACTGAGTGCAAAAAAATCTATCCTATTTCTTTATTACTTCTGGCACCATATGGTAGACTATAGTGGAAAATGGTGAGATAACAAATATGAGTCATCTCCTTAGACAGAGCCTTCCTGGGCCATGCCAATTAAATTTCTAATTTGAACTTACTGGGTAAGGAAGCCAAAACCGAGTAACTCCAAACTTAGTAACGGTAATAAACAAAACAATTCTTGCCAAAGAAGCCGAAAAAAGTCCTTATGAGGATTAATGAATTCAAATCTCTGGCAAAAGAGTGACAATCTTTTCTTACTTTCCACAAAAGAGAACCATACTAGGCTGAAATCCTTTGCAATTTCCTTTTTTCTGTCACTGCTATCACCAAGCTCAAAAGCTTGGGAGGGACCCTCATAGTCTCTCCAGTCGGCAAGCCCTGCCACCCACCACCTGCCAATTTGCCTCTTATTCCCCATATCGACTGCCAATACCCTGTCTCATCTAGGACTTATGTCTATAAGCTTATGTCTGGACTGGCTTTTAACTGTGCTCCCTACCGCCAGTCCTCCTTTCCCCTCTAATCCATTCTGTAGAGGGGTGTTTTCTTTGCCGTTAACAGTTACAGTGAATACTCACTGGATCAAAGTTACATACTTTAGCGTGGCACTCAAGGCTCCTATCATTTGACCCTACCTTTTCTAGTAGACTTATTTCACCTTACTCTTTAACATAAAACCTCTGCTGCAGGTCAGACTAATGCCCTCACTGTCCTTATATTTTACGTGTTTATTTCTTGCTTTTTGTAGCTTTGTTCATGCTGTTTGTCTTTTACGGAATGTCCTTCCCCATCTTCTGCCAATCCTACCTGTTTTTAAAGGTCACTCTTGAACCCCATCTCTGCCACAAAGCCTTCTCCAATAACTGTGGTAATGACAATAAAAGTAATGATTATTTACATAGTGCTTTACGTATTACCTCATCTGATGCTCACAATAACTCTGTGAGGTAGCTGCTATTATCATCCCCACCTTTACAGATGAGGAAACTGTGGCTGAGAGAGATTAAATCACTTTCCTAGGGTCAAAGAGCTATTAAGGGCCAGAGACAGGATCTGAATTCAGGTCTTTCTGCTTCCAAGTTGAGATCTCTATGTACTGTACTACCTAGATGATGCTGACCAGGGTCAACATCAATGCCCTACCCCTGCCCCTTCCTCCTGTCAAAAGACCTTTTACAGCACTTGCTGCATGATACACTAGAGTGCTGAACTCGGCAGCTCAGGCTCTGATCTACTTGAGTTACCCTGGGCAAATCATCTTCCCTGTCTAGGCTACAGTTTCCTCATTTGTAAAATCAGGGGGTTGGATCTGATGACCTCTAAGTGACTTTCCAGCTCTAAATCTGTACCCATTTTGGAACCTGGTTACATAAACACTATTATCTACTATTTCATGCTGTTCTCTAATTGCTTCACATCTCTCAATATTTTTTTCTCCCAATGTTATAAAATGGTCCTGGGGGTAGGGGCTGTATTACATGCTTCTTCTGCAGCACTTCAAAGCACCTAATTGTGCTGGGCATGTAATTGGTCTTCAACAAATACTGGCTGATTTAATTGGGCTGCTGAACTGGGTAAATCACTGTTTCTCTGGATCTCATTTTCCTCATCAGTATAATGAGGTTAGGTTTTATGATTCCTAAATTCCCTTCCACATTCAAGTCTAAAGAACAGAATCATACAATTAGTTTCAACCCACTAGACAATAGAGGGAGAGAAAGAAAAACTGGTCAGGATATTTTTATCCTAATGAAGTATGAAGTCCTATAAACAGTTACCTAAGCGTTCAGGAAGACTTACTAAGTTGAAAAATTTCAGCAGTAAGATTAGTGACATGAAAAAAGAAATAAACCAAACAGATCAAGCTTAATCCAACTGAGACTTATTACAGACAATTATATATTGCTTTAAGTTTTATAAAGCACTTTCTATATCGAGTCTCACAACCACTCTATGAAATAGATTCTATAGATGTTAATAATCTGATTTCAAAGATTAGGAAACAGAAGTTGACAATGAAATGATTTGCCCATGAATACACAGCTATTAAGTAGTGGAGGTATTAAGATGTTTTAAGTGGTATTCCAAGCTAGGTCTTCTGATTCCAAGACTCTACTCCTGTGCAATGCTGCCTCATGACCACTTAAGGTTGTAGAACAAAGATAACTCAGCTCTGCATTTTGCTTCCTTGAAACATACACCATGAAAAGAAGTAATTACTCAATCCAGTACAGTGAAGAACTTTGGTAACTATGACAATCCTTTTATTCTGATGCATGGCATCCTTCTTATGAAAACCCTTGAATGACATATCAAATTTTAAAGCTAATTTTGAAGCTAATGATTTTAAGCTAATTGTTTTGGTATATCAAATTTTAAGCTAATTTTGCAAACTTCCTTAAGGTAATTAGTGGGATTCTTGAGTCGTACAAAAGATGTTGAGAATGCCTAGAGACTGTGAGGGCCCTGAAGTCACTATCGATCAGAATTCTGAGTTCTTGTTAAGAGCCCTCATTAATTTTTCACATTTTTATGAATTGAGGCACCAAGTAGTACAACTCAACAGAGCTGTGTGTTTTGGGGCTTACCTGTATGTGTGGGTAAATAAGCTCACCTGTTCAGCCCTTGACAATAGCCAATGGTAGGGTTCTGCCAGGAGAATGCAAGTAGTATTCTCCGGAGTTTGGAGATAAATTTAGAAGAGGGGCTTGTAAAGTGCTTGTTGTTAGTTAAGGTGCGATTCAAGTCTAGCTCAATCTGCCGAAAGGCTGGGTGCTCCATGGTTTCACACTTTTTGAGCAGTAAGTCATAATGATTAGGTGTTTGGATAGGCCTGACCCGGAGGCTTATCATCCACTTCCAGACCCGCTGGCGGTGCTCGGGAGGGATGCCACTCCGGATCAGATGCTTCAGGTCTGCAGAAGGCATAAGTTCTCCAATACTGTTCCATTTCTCACGGAGGGGTTTCTCTACTGCCTCATGGTTCAAGAGATTATTAGATCTTATCTCTAGAGCCTGGATTTTTGCTAGAAGTTTTAAGTCCTCAACTTCATAATCAGGGACAGTCATGAATCCATAGTCATCATATTCACTGTTGAGAAGAAGTTGGCAGTGTATCATTATTAAGGTAGGATTGTAATTCACAGATACTTCAAAAGACAAAGAACATAAGACCTTTAACTCAATGATTTTCATGGCTCCTGGCAATTAGTCCTACTTCCATATCCAAGCTTGTCTTTAGGACAAGACAAGGAACAATACATTTATTAATTGTCTATGCCCATGGTACTTATCACTAGAGGTTATACAGAGGATAGTGGAATTCTTATCACAGCCTTCATTTCTTTCTCTGTAGATGAGTGGGTTGGATGAGATGATCTCCAAGAATCTCTCTAATTTTGACATTCTATAGTCCCTTTCATCTCCAAGACTCAGTGTTCTGTGTTCTAAGATTTCTTTCAGATCTACGGTTCTCCAGGTTTACATGCAATCCTATCTCAACATACAGTATTATTATCAGAGGCTATAGGTGGCTCTTTCATTGCCTATAGGATCACAGATCCAGAGCTAGAAGAGCCCTCAGAAACCATGAAGTCCAACCTTTTCATTTTACAGATAAGAAAACTCAAGCTCATAGAGGGAAAGGGATTTGTTCATGTCCCACAGGCAGTGTCAGAGGAGAGATGGGAGTCCAGAGCCAGGTATCATTCCATGGTACCTCACTGCTTCCCTATGGGTAGTGTTGCCAGTCCAGGGCTTATGGAAAAGATTAGGACCCTGATCTTGGCTAAAATTCAAATCACAGGCCAGGCCTGTCTTTTACAATTGACATGTGCCCTACAATGTATATATCTACTAGCCATGTCCAACAAATTTCTGTTTATCTTTAGGAAAAAAAAATGTATTGCTGTGAAATTCTTGATTTTCTTTTTAATACCGGATCAGGTGCCACTGATAACACTTCTGGGTATATTATTAGAGTTCTAGTATCTGTCCACTTGACACCTTCAATTTGAGATATAGAAGGCCAGTGGCTAATACTAGTTCTCTGTCAAGTTCTATCCTCAGCCCATCCCTAACACTAACTTGTCTGGCTTCTGTACCAGTATTTTCTTCCAGGTTTATTTGTTAGGCAGAGGCTTAGGAGCTCTTCAGATAGATTTCCTAGATTTTACCTAGATTATATCACTGAAAAGTCTGCCTTTGTCAAAGCCTACCTCAGGTCATGGAGTAGGATTTGTCTGGTTTGTTGTGTAGAACTAGTGAGTAAAGGACCAAAGGGATTTCCAAGATACAAAGACAGGTAGGAGCAGAGTATACTCGTCACAGGCAAACCTCCTCACCTGATAGGATTCAGTTTCATGGAGTCTGCTGCTCCCTCCTTTACATCCCACTGTAGAGCTTCATGAACCAGTTTCTTTAACATCTCCCCATATTCGCTTTCCTCACTGGGTAACATGTCCTGTAGCTTCCGCAACACAGTGAGGTATTTGCTTTCAATTGACAATTCTTTGCTTGGAGATATGCACACTGGAGGAGAAGGTGACAAAGGAGATTATGCAACAGGAAGGTCAGGGATGTTGTACTTGGAATTCAGATCAAAAATAGGCAACTGCAAACCAATACTCCAGTACTATGTTAAAATGTGCTCTGCTAGTAGGCTACATGTTATCAATTTTCTAAACCAGGGGTGGGGAACCTGTGGCCTTCTAAGTCCTGAAGTGTGGCCTTTGGACCAAATCCAAATTTTACAGAACAAATCTGGATTCGGTCCATTGGCCGCACTTCAAGACCTAGAAGGCCACACATGGCCAGCCTTAAGGCCATAGTCTCCACTGCTGTTCTAAACTAATCAGCTCAATATCTCTCATCAACTATACTGTAGTTTTCTTTGGATTTGTTAGACAGAGGCCAATGAACTCTTTGAATTTACAATTCACAAAAATATCAATTTCCTTAAAATCACTGATTTGGATGACAACTTACCTAGCCACTATACTAATATCTAAATATTGTTAAATCTCGATTATCTTCACTCAAGTTAAATCAACAAGCATTAACTGCTTGAAGGTCCTCACAATCTAATGCAGGAAACAATACACAAAGAACTACATAACAAACAAGATATATTCACAGTATAAGTTGGAATCACAGAGGGGAGCATTCAGAGGATCTGGGAAAGGCTTCTTGCAGAAGGTGGGATTTAAGCTGAGTCTGAAGGAAGCCAGGGAAGCCTGGAGGTGGAGATGAGCAGGAACAGAACTGCAAGCAAGGAAGGAAGCTTGTGAAAACGCTCAGAGTTAGGAGGAGTACCTTGTGAAAGGAGCAGCAAGGAGGCCTGAGTCCCTGGAATGCAGTATACAAGGTAGAGAGTAAGGTGTAAGAAAACTGCAAAGGTAGCAAGGGGCCAGTTTATGAAGGGCTTTAAAAGCCAGACAGTAGATTTTGTTTTTGATTCTGGAGGCAATACAGATCCTCTGCAGTTTAGTTGCTATACTCGGCCTTTCCTGGACTGCCTTTGTCTATTGTCACTGAAGTCCTGTTGAGGTAATTAAAATTCTAATTAAAAATGTTATTAAAATTTACAGCTAGGTGATGTAAAAACAAAAGATATCAGTAAAAATCCATTAAAACTTTTTTTTCCATTTTACAGATCATGGCAGATATTGTCTACTGGCACCCAAGTGATTCTCCCTCCTTTCTCAAGGAGTTTAGCCTGTGGCTAACTTTCTCCTCTCCGCCTCAATGACTGCTCTTAACTAGAGGCCTCTGACATTCATGCTGATGCTTCCACAAGCACCCTTGTCTCTTAGTTCCTCAATTTCCTCAAATCCCATGACACTTCTCTACTCCATCTCAATCCCACATGGGGATATAGTCACAGTCTGGATTTCACCACTACCCGTAAGCATTCTACTTCCCTAATAAAAAACAAGACAAAACAAAAACTCTGACATTCCTCTTTCTCTGTATCTTAATCCTCCTAAAACTACTTCCCCCCTCACTATATCTTATCCCTTAATCCCTCAGGATGTTCTCAGGCCATTGCCACTGCTTTGTTTTGTTTTTTGGCTAGGCAATAGGGTTAAGTGACTCGCCCAGGGTCACACAGCTAGTGAGTGTTATGTGTCTGAGGTCGAATCTGAACTCAGGTCCTCCTGACTCTAGGCCCAGTGCTTTATCCACTGCACCACCTAGCGGCCCCCATTGCCACTGCTTTGACTTCATTTTCTTTCTTTGTCAATCTTGACCCTATAATTAACAAATTCATCTCTATGCTTTTCTCTTCAGTCCTTTGTCCCAAAGTTGCTCATTCCTTGCAAGATTCTAGCCCTGAATTACCTCTGATTTTGGCCGTGATCAAACCTACTGCCATACTGCTCAGTGGAGCTGAAGGAAGTCTCACAATTATGCTGACTATAAAAGCTACAAATCTATGTTATCAAACTCCTTGGCTTTTTTTAAGTTATAAAAAATTAATCTGTCCTTACCATTCCTCCTACTAAGCAAAACAACAACAAAAGCAATAACAAAATAAAACCCTTGATACATGCATTCATAGTTCAGCACAAGAGATTCCCCCGTGGAGGTCTCTTTGGCCTTGGACACTTGAGCAAAGTCTTTTCCTGGACACTTTCTCCTTTCTAAGTTTCTGTTCCCTGGTTCTTTCCTGGTTCTCCTATCAGTCTGACTGCTTCTTCTCAGTCTCCTTTGCTAGCTCATCATCTTTGTGATGCCCTCTAACGTAGGAATTTTGCAGTGAGTAGTTTTTAGGAATCAAAGAGAAAGCTGTAGCAATGGAACAGAGAATGCAAGCCAACTTTGCAAGGTGGTCTGGAAAGCAAGGGGGAAGGTGAGGATATTACTGAGGGGGAAGGATCAATCTCAGCACCAGCTCAGGAGCAGAGAGAGGCTCTTAGGGTGAAGGGACATTTGGAAGCTGCCTGGAGGACTATGTTACTCTTACTTTCATCAAAAGGACTTTCTCCTTCTCAGCAGCATTTCTCCATATCTTTGTGACCTGGTGGATTTCAGAGTTCAGGAATCGGTTCTGGGTCTTATAGGCTTCTATGTCATCCTGGAAGGAAAGGTATTTTGGCAATTTAATGAAGCTGTAAATATCTAACAACCACATGGATAGTCAAACTCTGATACCATATCCCAATTTTTTAAAGGTTTGTCACCTTTTTAATAAACTCCTCACTCTTTAGTTCAGTAGTAATTAAGCTCACTGACATTACTTTTAATGCCCAGCCCAAAACATTTTCACCATCCCAGTCTCTGAACTTTATGCTGTCTCTTGTTACAAGGTAAAGCTTCTTTTTTTTTCCCCTTTCCTTTTAAGGCCACAGGTTCCTCACCCTGTTCTAAACTAATCAGCTGACAATCTCTCATCAACTATACTTGTAGTTTTCTTTTGGATTTGTTAGACAGAGGCTAATGCACTCTTTGAATTTCCAATTCACAAAAAAACCCCAATTTCCTTACAATCACTGATTTGGATGACAACTTATTTAGCCATAACACTAGTATCTAAATTGTTAAATCTTGATTATCTTCACTTTAAGTTAAATCAACAAGCATTGTTAAGTGCTTTCTCTCACGTATGTCTATAAATATTGTTTTAAAGTGTGGAATACCTTACTCATAAAACTACAGCTTAGAAGGGATTACAGATAGTTTCTAATTCAATCCCTTAATTCTGCAGAACAGGCACTGAGGCCTAAAGAGATTAAGTGACTTCCCAAAATCATGTCATATTTGGTGACGAAACCAGGATTTGAATTCAGGTTCCCTGACCTAAATACAGGGTTCTTTCTACTACTTCTCCCATTAGACTAAGGTTCTTTCTTTATGTTCCCAAGGCTTAACATGGTGCCTGGTTCACAGTAGGCACTTACCAAATGCTAGTTGACTGACGGACAATATTTTCGTGGATTGCAAACTCAGTATGAATCAGAAGTACAACCTGGCAACCCCAAGAGATGATGATCTTTGGCTGCCTTAAGAGAATGACCAATGCCAATTTGTACTGCTGATTCATACTGAGTTTGCAATCCACTCAGAACCCCAGATCATTTTGAAATGAATTATTATTGTGTCATTCCTTTGCCAAGCTAGAGATAGGCAATGATTTTTTTAAACTCAAATGCAGGACTTTACATCTGTCCCTGTTATTAGGTTTGATCCAACATTCTAGGCTATTGAGATCCTTTCGGATCCTGACTACCATTCCACCATGTCAGCTCTCCCTGCCAGCTTTGCATCAACTCTGTCTCCATCCAAGCCACTGAGAACAATGTTCAACTGCCTAGGGCCAAAAGCAGGTCTCAAGGTAATTCCCTTAAATCTCCTTTCTATTATTTACCTGTCTTAACTGTAGGCATGGTGCCTAAGAAAAGAAGAGCCTCTATAAAGCTAGGCTTATAAACCCAAACTTAAAAGGGATGGCAAATGTCATTCCCCACCCCCACCCCCCAAGTATTTGCATTTAACAGAGATCAAAGGCTTAATGTAAAAAAAAAAGAAGTTCTAGCAATGAAATTTCAGACATCAATCAGTAGGAGGGGAAAGATTTTTTTGGCAGGCTTTCTCAGTATGCCTAAAATGAGGTCACAAGCAGTCGTCACTGTCCTGTGAGGATGTCTCTGCCTTAGAGAGTATCTTAGGAGAAGCAGTGACATTTGGTTATTGACCACTGTTAAAGAGAAAGTCTTTAAGAAGTCAGAGAAGAACCATGTCAAAAGATTCTTGAAAAGGTTGGAACAGTTGCTCTGATATCTTCCTAAAAGATGCTTTTGAAAGGGGAGAGTTCAGCCTATTCTTAAACTAAATTAAAGGTTATTGTAATAGAACGTTATATGTGTTGGTCTTTGGTCTTAAATACCTGCTCAGGAAAGAATGTAAGAGAACAGGTAAAAGAACCTGATGAAATGGATATATTTTAATTTTCAAGTGTTTGAAAGGTTTGAGGAATTTTTTTTACTAATATATTTTAGGTTTCACTTCTATTATTTTGAACCTGAAGTCTACTTTAAATCACTTTCAGTAATCCATGGAAAACCTATGTTGCTAGAAAGGTTCTACTACAAGTTTCACTATTGGAAAAAAAGTTTCACTTCAAATTATCTGATGAGAATACTTTCATAGAGTTTACAAACCTGAGGCAGCTAAAAAACCAGTGAGCTCTCCAAATGCTGATATCTGTATGGGAACTCTGACTCTATATCTCAGAATGATAATTCATGACGCAGTAACAACAATAATCACCACCACCATGACCTGAAGTGTCATGAGGTTGGTGACTTATTATCCAGAAATAGTTTGCACAACTGCTTTTATTATATCTAGCATAAATAGTAATGTTTTTCTTGTTCTAATGGACCATACAATCACAAGGAGTAGAAATGTAATTCTGGGGAAGTGATGATAGAAGAAGGTGAAGGGATCAGGGTGGGGCTTGTGAGAAACTTCCCCTTTGTCTATGTCTGGCCTACCATTTATATTCTTCACTGCTGACAGGAGGCTCAAAGCAAGAGAGAGACTTTAGGAAGCAGACCAAGCTTCCCAAAAGGCCCAGTAGGACAGAAGACTGATAGGATGCATACTGTATAGTTGAATACCATGCTCAGTATTCCGCACAAATTAAGTGATTAACAAATATTTGTTTAGAGGAAGACTAAATGGGGGAGGGGTGGTGGTGGTGGTAACGTTTTAGATTCTACACAAAGCCTATTTCCTTTAATTATTTCCCAAAGGTCACTGAGGCAGAGCTAGAGCTGGCTAGCTGGTTACTTTTAAAATGCCAACTCCAACAGCCAAAGGAAGAGAAGATTTTGCTTAACTACGTGACCTTAATTACAAAGCACAGAAGTGCGTACTTAAGTAAATTCAGACATCTGGGTCTTTTCATGGCTATCTGCTACAATAAGAGACTAAAGTCTGAAAAATGGCAAAATTTCTAACTCTAACTTTAAACCCTAACTTGCTGTTGGAGGATACTTTTAAACAAAAGGCCTACTCCATAATCAGGCTAGCCCTTTCTGGAAGTCTTCTCCTGGGATCAGCTTCATGCCTTTCCCTCCTCCATTCCATCCCATGCTCTCCTTTCTCCCTTTTTGAGGTCCCTGAGTCTTTCAAAGCTTCATATTTTCTTGTTCACTTCCCACAATGGCAGGTGTAAGGTCTTGTTTGCATGCATGGTTTTATTCAGAGTCATGGGCTGCCTGTTCATATAGTAAAAATTTGAATAATCAGGGACCAGCATCCTTGGAATCCTCAGTGTTCTATAATATAATAGTTTCCTCTCCTTCCCCCAATGACACGCCACCGAAAAACACTTGTCGAGCAGCTAAGAGGCAAGCCTAGAGAACCCTCAGAGACTTGAAGATCCTTACTGGACCTGATACTCTTGTAACTGGTTGGTTTTCTGGGCAGAAGAAAAGGAGTATTCTGATTGGCTGCTGATGTCTATAAAAAGCCAGGCTTCTTACATGAAAGCTGAGAAGCACAGGAGAAGTTACAGGAAACAGAAGAGATAAGAAAGAAGAAAAACAAGAGGGAAGAGATCAGCATGGGAGGTCATACCTGCTGATAATCATACACAATGGTAATTAAGCATGGCCCCAGGTGGGAACCAGGAACCACAGCTTACAGACTCTCAGAGTGGGAAGGGATAATCAGACAACAATCCAACCCCACTGAACAAGAATCCCCTCCACAACAAGAAGCCCAACAAGTGGCCACTGCTTGAGAAGACAAAGTAGAGCTGTCTTAGGATCAAAGCTCCAAGTTCATCTAGTACAACTTCCTCATTTTACAGATAGGCCCAGGGAGTTGGGTGACTTGTCCAGGGTCACACAGAGAGTGTCAAGAGGTAGGATTTGAATCCAGGTTCTAACTCTCGAAAGTGAGGGCTAGAATTGACTAAGGCCATTTGGGAAGGGTTGTGCTGGAACTGGCTCGGACCAACTTGTGAGAGCCAATTGTTAAATTTTCAGTGTAAATACTGACACCTTGGAAATCAACCAATGCTACAAATCAGTGCTTGATTTATTGTTTGGCTGACTGCCTATACTTGAGAATGTGATAGAGAAAACGTTAAGAATGCAGATTAAACTGAAAGTGTGTTGTGCCTAGCTCCCCCTGCCCCCAGTGGTTGTTAAACATTTATAAGTACATCCCTGCATAGGTAACCTTATGGCAAAGCTCTAGAGCTAAAATTGGAACTTCAAGGTCAGCGTGTCTCCCATTGCACCACACTATTCTTCTCCCAGTGCTGCTACTCAGCTCCATTGTTTATCAGTGAGTGGGTGCTCAGGGGATTAGTAAAAAGGCCTCTTCCTCAGGGAATAGATTGCCATGGGTGGAGGCTACACCTAATTTTGACCTCAGTCACTGCAACCACAACACCCTCCATGATCAGCTGGCACCTAAGCAGACAGGGATATCCATCCTCTCCCACCATGTCTCTTGCCCCAGCACTATTCTCTGGACACTTCATCACTGAATTCAGGAGCTAGTAAGTTCTGTTCTGGCTCTTGCTCAGACACTGGGAGGGTGTTGTTGCAGTGACTGAGGAACTGATGCTGGGTTTAGTCAGGTTCCCATATGCCCAATCACCCAGTATTTACCAATTCAGAAGCCTAATCTAATTTTCCTCCTTGGCTGGCATTTGAAAGAATGAGGCTGCTCTCCACCAGCGCAGGATCTTTAAGGGTGGGAGCTCCAGTCAAATGATACTCTGCTAGTAAATCCCATTCCCTCCTACCCTTATCCATGTGATTCCATCACCATCTTCCTAGGCAAAAACTCCCTCTGCCTGCTACCACCCCCTGCATTCTCAGCCCATCCATCTCTGACCTTCCCCTCCTATGCTACTCTGTCCTTCCTTGTCATTTTGTCTTCTGGGATCCATTTCTATCATTAACAAACTCCTTTTCATATTAAACTTCCTCCTCTCAAACTTTCTCCATCCAGGAGTAAACAGTGAGCCCCAAAGTACATCAATGTGACATGAACATTGCCAGCCAATGGAGTTTAGTAGTCTGGGAAAACATTCATCATACAGGGGTGCCCCAAAGGTTCTAGGGCAATTTTAAGATACTAAATGTTAAAACTGCCCTAGGACCTTTAGGTCATCCTGTATGTAGGGAAAAGCTAACATTAAAGCCATCTTTTATCACACGGTATAATAATTGAGGTTCACAATAGTCACTATTTTTTAATTTAGGAATAAAATTCTGTGCAGTATATTCTTTTTTATAAGGTTTTTTTTGGGGGGCAGGAGATGCTAGGCAATGGGGTTAAGTGACTTGCCCAGGGTCACACAGCTACTAAGTGTCAAGTGTCTGAGGCCGCATTTGAACTCAGGTCCTTCTCACTCCAAGGCCAGTGCTCTATCCACTGTACCACCTAGCTGCCCCTCTTTTTTTTATTTTTTATAAGTTCTAAGTATATTCTAAGAAGGCAGGGAAATATGTAGTAGATTTTAGAAAGATTTTTTTAAAAAAGCTAATAAAAAAAGTTTCTCCATTTTAAAAAAAGGTCTTTACTTGAAAAACTCAGTTATTGAGAATAACTCACTCTCTAAGAGATGTGAGCAGCTGATGCTTTACTGTATTTAATATATAACCCAAGAATATCCAAGAATCATCACATTGGATCTGTGGTCAGTAAAAAAAACTAATGGGGCAAATTGAACACAACAGACTGGGAAATGCTGGGGACTATTGTAGTTGGGTTGTAACGTAGTTCTACATACCTTCAAATGCTCGACCTTTTCATGAGGATTTAGGAAGGTCCCAGAGTCCAGCCCATCGGCTGCCTTTGGGGGGTCTATGAAATCCCTGGTCACTTTCTCCGTGAGCTTGAAGATGACCTGCTGCTTGGCATGGTTCTTGTCCATTAACAGCTGCACATGCTGTTGGAGTTCCTTAATGTGCTCCTCTCTCAGGCCCAGGGAATCCTCAAGGGCCTTCTTGTCTTGTTGGAGGCTCTCCACATGCTTTCTCAGCTCAGCAATTTGTCTCACCTTGTGCCGAACCAGCTCCAGACGGTCTTTATCTTCGGCAGCTGTGAGGTATGTGCTACAAGCTCGTTTTTCCTGCTGGGCTGCTTCAAGAGCTTTATGCAGAATCTTCACAAGTTCCTGACCGGTTTAAAAAAAACAAACAAACCTCAAAGCAAATCAAACCTTCTCTTGTCAATCCCCTTCCACCATAAACTCGCACACACACAAACACACACACAATGCAGAGAAGGTAGGGGGCATGAAAACAAAACTGGAGCTGCACAGGAAACATAAGGAATTAGAAACCAGTTGCTCAGGAGATAAGGATCTAGTCAGCCTTGACCTAGGCTTTGCTCAGAACCTGGACCTCATATAGTAACCAGACTCATGTCTTATAGTCCAATTCCTACCCTATTCCCCAGTTCCATCAATTAAGACCTTATTTTTCTCCCCTGTGCTCAAGTCCATTTCTGAAATGTCTAATTTCAATCAGTAAATGCTTACTTATCTCAAGAGGACTGTCACTGGTTATATTAAAAATAAACATAAAATTAAAAAATTAAAAGTCAAAAATATTAGATTAAAATGAAAATTAAAAATAAAATAGAGAAATCTAGCCATCTAATACATTTTTAAAAGAAGGCAACAAGCACTTATTAAGCAATTACTATGTATGAAACACTGTGCTATTTCGGGTATACAGAGAAAGAAAAACAAAACCTCCTCTGTTCTCAAGGATCCCACAATGCCACAGAAGAGACAGTTCTCCTACTCAAGTTCCACCTTCCCTCCATCTCCTTACTAGAACTTTCTGACCAGTAAATATTTTTCCTATTTCACTGTTATCAGTTGCAGTTAGTTTGAAAAACTCTGTAGTCAGAGAAATGAGCTAGATGATTGTTTAAGTCACAGTCACAGGATTTCAGAGCTAGATAGGACATCAGAGATTACTTACAAATGAAGAAACTGAGTCCATCCAAAATTATGTGGCTCACTCATTGACTGAGATGAGGACTTCATAGCTAGTTAGTGAAAGAGCCATGACTAACTGAACCAGCTAACAAAGAAGAAATGGCAGAGAAGGTAGATATGATATTATTGACTGGCTGAAAACACACATATATATGTAAACATAAATATATATTTCCATAAAGAATACCAGATTACTAAGGATCCTAGCAAACACCAAAGAAGAGATCAGGAGAGTTATTTGTGCCACTTACCTCTCCCAGACATAAAAACTCATACTTCTTTCTCATGTTTCCCCTGCTTGGAATGCCTTCCATTGTCCTCTATAAATCCCATTTATCTTTAAGGTCCAGATTAAGACTAATCTTCATGAAGCCCCCTCTCAGTACCCCAGCCCACAGTAACAATAACCTCTTCTGAATTTCTAAGGCATGAATTTTCTGTATCATTTATTTGGCACTTAGTATATGCTACTTTGCATTGTTAATTGTTTTTGCTGTGTATATTAGTGGTATAGTGGATTGAGAGCTCACTTCAGACCCTGGTAGATAGGGATTCCAAAAGCCAACTTTGACACATATCAACTTTACTGTCCTGGACAAATCACTTCATCTCTTGGTGCTGTAGGCAACTCTCTTAGACTAAAAATAAAGTGAAGAAAAGGTGCCCACCTGCTCTTATAGAAGGAGTTTCCTCATCTGAAAGTTCCCTTTATAAATGAAATCATAGGTCTAGTCTTTAACTTGGCTCTATCCTTATTTTCCCAAGTAGAGTATAAGGTCCTTGAACGTAGGATACATGTCATTAAACATCTTTGTAACCTATTTGATTTAAAGTTAACCAATCCTTAATTAAGGTTTAATTAAAAATTGTCAGTTTAGAAATATCTGATTTTTATTTTTATTTCTTAGCCAGGTAGTATTTCTAGCCTGTTAAGATAGAAGTATTTCCCCACAGTTCTCACCATTAAGGCTAAGCACTGAATATCTCAGATAAACTTTTTCTAGGTCTAGGTCTTCAAGTCCCTAAAACTGCATAGTCATGGAAGAAAATCTGACCAGCTACCTAATTTAAATGACCACATTAATGTCAATATATTTAAAAAACATTTTTATTCTTAATTTAAACATCAAAAAGGAACATTTCCATATATCTAGAAGAATAAGATTCTATATAATACTGTGAATTTCCATTTCATGCTGTCTGCTTTAAAAAAAAAAGTATATAACAAGTTCTACATATTACTTTCAAAACTGTTCCCCTCAGGGGCAGCTAGGTGGTGCAGTGGATAGACCACTGGCCCTGGAGTCAGGAAGACCTGAGTTCAAATTTGACCTCAGACAAGATACTTGACACATACTAGCTGTGTGACACTGGGCAAGTCACTTAACCTCAACTGCCTTAAAAGGAAAAAAACCAAACAAAGCAAAAACAAAAACTGTTCTCCTTATTTGTGCTTCCTTCTTAACTCTGTTCTACTCTCTTCTGAGAATTAAAAAAAAATGTTTCAATGGTGTTGTTTTTCTGGATGTCATCTTTATCTCCCCTTCTCCATTAAAAACCAAAAGAAATAAAAAACCAAACCCTGTTTTTTTTTTTTACATTTTTCTTATTTAATTCCCTCATTACCCTTTGAAGACATTAAGGGACTGAAGGGACATTTGCTTCTTCTCTCCCTTTTAAATGTTAGCACTTTATCATCATGTAGCCTTTTGTGCAAATTAATACAGCTTAGTTTCTTTTGACTCTTGAGTCTGTACTTTAAAGTTCCCACACAGGTTTTCTTTCTTTTTTTTAAAAAACAGAAATGATTATAAGTCCTCTCGCCAGTCCATGAAATATCCCCTGCCCTTATACTGGGGTTCACAGGTCAGTTACTCTTGGCTGTAAACCCATCTCTTTTGTCTTTTGGAATATCCCAGTCTAGGGCTTGTGCATCCTGATTGTGGTTTCTTGGGAGCTGCAGCAAGTGACAACCAGTGCAGTGTCAGAGCACTGAGACCAGGACATAGTATATAAAGCATTATAACAAAAAAAAAATGGCAGAAATATCCTTTCTTAGAGATCTTTAAGGCTGACTGAATCTTAATATTGCCAAGTTGGGATTGGAGTTCTGTGTAGTTGTTATTACCTGACTGTACAAGGCATGGTGAAATACAGGACAGAATGCTGGACAATCAGGGGAGACCTGAATTAAAATTCTGCCTCTGAAGCTAACTGTGTCACTATGGGCAAATCAATTAACCTTTCTGGCCTTAGCTTCTTCACCTTGAAAATGGGGATAATAGTATTTGTAGTACCTGCCTCACATAGTTGTTGTGAGGTATAAATAAAATAATGCATGGAAAGGATTTTGCAAACTTAGGTTTGCAAAAAAAATTTACTCAGCATTATTGTTGTTATTGTTTTCCAAATGGCACAGACTAATGGCAAGAGCACAGGGTCCTAAGAATTAGGAGCACCATATCCTTTTCCTACTCAGAGAGTTAATTACACAAAACAAAAACTTTAAGTTTCCTACTTTAAATACAATTCTGGAGAACCTCTTATTCAGGAAATGGGAAGGGCAGCTTTCTCATCTTTTAAGACTTGGTAATGTGTAAATTCTGGTAACAGTTTCCTAGTTACTGAAGCAATCTGATTAGGTGGCAGTTTCACCACCCTCAAAATCTTCTGAACTCAATAAAAATCAGGCTAAGAATGTCTGTTATTATGCTTGGTAAGGACTTGTTGGTCTTGGTTACTCTTTCCATTGGCATGCTGCCAGTGATTAAACTTCCAGCAGATCCTGAAATAGTTACTGTCAATCAGTATATGGCAGGAAATGGAATTCATTAACAAGAGATATTTGTTCCCTCAGCTAAGCCCAGAGTTTGAATAAGCTTTGTAGAGGCAAATTTGTGCTCGTCTGGTACCAAGAAAGCAGACTATTTCAGAGTCCCTCCTCTAAACACAACAAGCAGGTAACATCTGATGCCACAGAAAGAATCTTTGGAAAAATGCCCTATGCTGCTGAAAAATTCTAAAAATGTAACTGTTTAGTAGCTTCTTATTTTCTGGTTTAATTTAGAACAAATCTGAGCTCTCAACAAGAGCATTCAGAAAGAAATAAAAAAGGACTGTCTCCTAAAGGCATTCAGTTTAGAGTTTTAAAATGAAAATAAATGCTCTAATCTTAAAAAATTACGGATATGAAAAATATACGTTCCCTAGAGAGAAAAAAGTTTGAGTAAAAAACACTGTTCAGTATTTTTATAGGATTAAAGGAGCACAGATTTAGAGGTATGAGCCTCAGAGTTCACCTAGTCTAAGTTGGACTTTATTTTACACGTGAGAAAATTGAAGCCCAAGAGAAGTAAAGAAACTTGCTGAAGGTCACATAGGTGAATGGGGCAGAATCTGAACCCAAGTACTCTGACTTCAAATAATTTACTCAAAGTCAATTAATTTACAGGAAGGATTGGGGGAAAATGCCCATGCTAGAAGGTAGTCGGCTGTTAAAATACCACACATATATCACAGAAATATGCAGATCTCTGTGTATGATAAAAAATGACAGCTTTTCAAGTTATTTTAGTAGAGAAACCAAAATTAAAAGAAAAAAGGAACATAGATTAATTGTGTAATACAATCCAGGATATCCAGTTCCTGTCTGTGAAGCGCACATCATTTTGAGGGCAAATTCACTTACAAACATCCCTGATTTGTATGCAATATAAAGAACTTCTGTAACATACATTCCCAGAAATCCTGAATTTCATTTGTCATGTAGGGAAGAACAGGCAACTGAATCATGACTTTGAAAGTACTATGTCAATGTTCTAAGGAAGTAAGAATAAGACTCAGTGACTACCTCATCATATTTCCTAAACAGATATAGTCTCCAATGAACTACATTATGACTAGATGATCCATATCCTGAACCATATGTTAATTCATGTTTTTCTCTAGGCAGCACACGTGGGTGGTTTAATTATTTCCGTCAGTTGACATATGTCCAACAGAACCACAAAAGCTTTCCATATGCCTAAACAGATGGAAGTAGGGGACAGGTACAATTTCTATTCTCTTGGTGATTTGAGTATTCATATTAAAAACATCAACTTTGTATCCACTGGACTCCAGACAAATCTGTTCCTTTTCAGCATTATCATTAAAAATGTCTACAG